GAAAGAGGGTGTTAGTTGAGAGGGGGTCGGGAGAAGCCTGGAAGCTCTGGAGGAAAGGGCCTCGACCTCGATCGCATTGTACTTGAGATGTGTCGACAGCCGTGACTCGAGGGTCGATCTTTGGCTTCGAGGGAGGTTGCGCCGGGGCGGACGTAGCGACCGCGTCTTTCTGCGAGGACTTTTTGTCCCGCTAAAAAGTGTTCCAGAGAGACGACATGGCTGTGAGAGATGTAGGTGTGATGACGGTGGGTGTACTTTCTTTTCGTGCTGCCGCGGAGGTTGATGTGGTGTTGAGCCCGAGGGGATTCAGGAGGCCAGTAGCGCGGCTGTAGTCGGAGCCGATGATGATGATTTGGGAGGTGTCGAAAAAAATTGGCCGCCGTCTGGGCCAAGTTCGGGCTCGCCGCCCCAGCGCGACATGGCCCTTGCGCAGAGGAAGAGCGGCATCGGCTATTCGCCGGTAAATGCTGGGCGTGGCTGAGTCAGTCGTTCCAAACCCTGTGGTGCTTCCTGCGCCTGCTTCTAGGAGTGGTGGGTCAAAGCCATGCACGTTCGTGGTTGCCCTGCTTGTTGTGCTTCATTCATCTCTGACCTGACTACGATCATCGCATAGATATGGACTCGTGTGTAGCGTTTATCCATAGCTCAATCTTCAAGCCCATTGGAGGTGCTCAGTGGCCCGCCATCGTCGAGGATGAGGACGAGGACAAGGTGGCACGGTCATACTCGATGAATCCTATGGGGCCATGCCCAGTCTGCGCCGACCCATTCAATGCTGCAGGCAGGAGATGCTGGAGATGTCAGACCCGCCTGACAGCAAGCCGGAAATCTGTCGATCAACAGACATGGCTCGCTAGACTAGTCGACCACGCTTTTCACGATGGAGATGGAGGGGCGGTACCAACCGACCGTAAAGGTCATTCAGGGAGACGAGACAAGCGACAGACCGATGCAGGTACACAGTCCTGGCAACCTACCGACGGCTGATTGATTGCGACGCCCGGTTGGCTGCGCCTCGAGCAAATTCAACTATGTAAAAAGCGCGCATCGGCCAATCACACCCAGACGATAAGATCAACCTCGCGAATAGGAACCGACATGAAATTCTCTGATGACCTGGACAGCACGAACTAGAGGTTCGAGCTTACGATGTACGGACTCTGGGGCCGCTCTGGAGAACCCAGCACCGTGGGGTTTGTCGGGAAACAGACACCGAATCGTGAGCGACGCATTTGCGATCGACTTGAAGCAGGTCATATGAACGTCGGCGCTGGGGCTGGCATGGAGGGCCGCGACACCACTGCGGCGAAGTGAAAAGCTAGAATGTGACATTCGTGCAACACCAGCCACTGGGCACCTTAAAAAGCAAGCCGATCTCACTTTCAGGAGAAACACAAACGCGCGTGCCGGCATCGGCCTGCAGGTTCCGAGACGAAGCTGAGGGGTCAATCCTCTCGGAATAGATACCACGAGAGAGGAAGAGAGAAAAATACCTCCAGGGCCGCGAAGCCGCAGACTGCTATACAAGCACAGGCGCAGATACAAACAGGGCGGAGGAAAATACCCTGATGCGCCAGTCTCCATTGGCTCTTGACCAGGCCGAAGTTGGCGCCATCCGCGATGGAGAGAAGCATGGGACACCTGGGAGGGGGGGCATGATACCTGGGGAAATCATGCCAGGCCGTGCTCCCAAGCCAGAGGAATTCCATAATGTGCCTCTGCCACCTGGGTCCGACTCGCAAGCACGATGCCCTTACTCGAATGGTCTGCAGTATTCCATCCTCTGGACGTGCGGGGACGCGCGAAACTCGAGTCTTCTCGCCGCAGACGGAGGCTATTGCCAGAAACTGATGCCACGATGCTGACCTCGGCCGCAGGTGACCAGGCGAGCTGGCTGGCAGGTGAGAGAAAGATGTGGTGGGGGTACACCGGAGCACACTGACAACCTGCATGGCAATCCCACCCCCCCTGAAGTAGTATTCGGGGTCCTTATCTCGAACTCAAGACTGGCTGGGCTTTTAGGTTGCCAAGGAATCCAGGTTGCCAGTCTCGACACCCCTTCACCCACCCCACCTCCCTCTTCCCCAAGACACAGAGCATACGAGCACAGAGGTTCTCGTAGATAAACCGCCCTTGCCCCTCAGCTCTCCTTCTCCCGACGATCTGCTTGTTTTACTTTTCAGTCCTTCTGGCCCAGAGATAGATTTTTGTTCCTTTCCTCCTTCACAATTGTCCCCCGCTAACAACGCGACAATCCGCAAAAATGGTGAGACCTGTTCCCCCTTCACCCCACCGTCTGCTCGCCGCGCTCTGGCGCTCCACATCTCCGGAGCCGGACCGGCGGTGTCCCACAATTTCCTACCGGATTCACGCACACGATACTAACATGTTGTCGCAGGCGACTCCCTCCTCCAACATTTCCAGGACCGACACTGTGAGCTCACAATCAAGGCCGGCGCATGGTTTCTGGGCATGCTGACGCAACATGACAGTTGTCGAAGTACCTGAAGCTCGACCAGAAGGGCAGCATCATGGCCGAGTACATCTGGATCGATGCCGCTGGCGAGACTCGTTCCAAGTCCCGCGTAAGCAAATCTACAAGATCCCACGTCAGCCGCGGGGCGGCTCGATGTTTCAACTGCTAACATGTCACGCGACATAGACGCTGAAGGAGCAGGAGTACACGCCTGATGACCTTCCCACCTGGAACTTCGACGGTTCCTCCACCGAGCAGGCTCCCGGTGACAACTCTGACGTCTACCTCAAGCCCGTTGCCGTCTTTCCCGATCCTTTCCGTGGCACTCCTAACATCCTCGTCCTCGCCGAGTGCTGGGATGCTGATGGTTCGCCGAACAAGTACAACTACCGCTACGAGTGCGCCAAGACCATGCAGGCTCACACTGCGCTCGAGCCATGGTTCGGCCTTGAGCAGGAGTACACCCTGCTCGACCTCAGCAACCGTCCTTTTGGGTGAGACAGCACCTTGTAGCCAACAACAGGGTGTAACGTAAGCTGACCCCTCCCGCCAGCTGGCCCTCGAACGGTTTCCCCGCCCCCCAAGGCCCCTACTACTGTGGTGTCGGCGCCGGTAAGGTCGTTCAGCGCGACATTGTTGAGGCGCACTACAAGGCCTGCCTATACTCCGGTGTCAAGATATCTGGCACCAACGCCGAGGTCATGCCTGCCCAGTGGGAGTTCCAGGTCGGCCCCTGTGTCGGTATTGAGAGTGAGTTGTCCCGCCGCCTGCCATTGCCACACCTCCGACGTGTGTGCTAACATGTACCAGTGGGTGACCACCTCTGGCTCGCCCGTTTCCTCCTTGCGCGCATCTCTGAGGGAGTTTGGTGCCAAGGTGTCTCTGCACCCTAAGCCCATTCCCGGTGACTGGAACGGCGCCGGTCTGCACACCAACTTCTCCACCAAGGGATATGGAGGTAGAGGTAAGCTCACATCGCTTTACCGCTCTGGAGAATGCGGCTAACAAGACTAGGGTGGCATGAAGTATATCGAGGACGCGATCAAGAAGCTTGAGGGCCGTCACAAGGAGCACATTGCCGTCTACGGTGAGGACAACGATCAGCGTCTGACGGGCCGCCACGAGACAGGCGCCATCGATCAGTTTAGCTGGGGCGTCGCCAACCGCGGCGCTTCCATTCGCATCCCCCGCGAGGTCGGCGCCAAGGGCTACGGATACTTCGAGGACCGCCGCCCCGCCAGCAACTCGGACCCTTACAGGATCACCCACATTATGATGGAGACATGCTTCGGCGCTTCGGACTAAAGAAAGGAAGAAAAAAAAAAAGGCAGATACCCTCTTTCGCTACTACTCTGGTGTTGAGCCGGCACGGAAATTCCGGGCCAGCTGCGCGTGGGTTAGATATGGGTGCACGGTAGCTTATTCCCCCAAATGAGAAATGGTGTTATGATCAATGACAAGATGATGCCATTGGCTGATGACACAAGCTGAATGATTATTATTTTTGGCATATACGACCAAGCGGTACGCTTCCTCTCGCATTAAGAGAGACCGTCCCGAGCTTGGGCTATCCTCAGCTCGCCACATTATCGAGCATGGTGTCAAGTTTGCGTACGTGACACATGAGGCAAACCGCCCATCATTTTCAATGGCCTTGTCGTTACTGGCCGAGGGTTCTCATCTTGCGGCCAGACCCGAATGTACAGTTCCGCTGCCTAGACAGCCATTTCTCCCTATTGGGTTGGGCCAACGTATGAAGAGGAAACCGTCGAGTGTAAAACCGCGAACTGGGGGAAACGACACCTCCACAATAAGATGAACCAAGCGACATCTTCACATTCGGCATTTTCCAGCGCACGGTGGTACAGGTCGAAACTGACAAAGTTTGCAGAGTTGATGCCGGATTCTGTGTGCGCACGTTCGTGAAGCGTATCACCACGGCATCTCGCGCAAACATAGTCATGGCCATCTCGCCTTAAGAAAGATGCCTTGCCCGCCGCCCCCCAAGATCCCAGGTACTTAATGCTGGACTATGTTCTCGGCAGGATAGGGCGTGCAAGTCTTGTCCTAAGCATTCCTGCCCACGACCTACTGCTCCAACGCTTCTATCTAGGAAAGGTCACATGTCGCCCATCGAGAATGGCCTTCTCAAGCTACGTTGGGGTCGGAGCCTGGATCCTCCAGGTCATTGTCACAAGCTTCTGCTGAGATGAGCAGCTTGCTGATACAATACGTAGGCCATCTTCGCCCTCGTCGCGCTGGCCCTGTCGGTCGACCTTCTGCGGGGGCAACTTCACGGGGCCCCGCCAGGCTCGATCCAGTTCGCCGTCTTCGTGGGATCAGTAGGCCTCGTCGTGGCGCTCCTGGAGCTGGCTGGCATGTTTGTCGGCAAGATACCTAGCAACGTCGTCATGGTGTTTGACGTGATGAGTGGTCTACTACTACTTGGCGGCGGCATTGTCAGTGTCCTTGCCGTGCGAACGGATGCCCGATGGTGGGGTTCGTGCTGACAGTCGTGCAGGCGTATGCAGTTGCTCTCGGTGGCATCGAGTGCGAGAGGCATGAGAACCTGGACGAAGTTGCAGGGAACGATTGGTGGGAGAGCCCAATTGTCAATGCAGGTTCTGAGAACTACCATGGAACCCGAAAGCTGGACTTGCGGCGGTGCCAGAAGGCGTATGCGAACCAGGCTATCCAGTTTGCATGTGCCGTCACAGCCCTAGGAACGGCATTCCTCTGCTATTTGGCATGGAGGAGGACTGGTGCAGGCTTGGCAAGGCCGGCCATGCCTTTAAAATGAAGTGCTTTGGGAACGGAGGAAGTGGCGACGCTTCGTGCAGGTGCGAAGATCCGCACCACACCGCGTCTCCCGTCCTATGCATGTAGTATATCAGGAAGCTAACGGATTGGTTGTGTGCACGTTTGGTAATTCGGAGGCGCTGAAGACCTCTGTCTGCAAATCGCCGACGGTATGAATGCGAAATGGAGACTATCCAGCATCAGCGTCTCCGACGGGGACGCAGATATCGCGTGTGGTCCACAAGTAGATATCGAATGATGACTAAGGTGTCCGGGCAACACGACAAGCTCTTCAATCCTGCCGTCTTTGAGGGAACTCCCATCTGGATGCAACACCAGCCACGCCGCAGCCTTCAATTGGCTGGGCTTCTCGTCACAAGGATTGCTCAGTCAGTCGAGCATATCGGTCAAAATCTGTCTGAAACCACCCCCGCGTCCTGGACTGAGAGACGTCCACGGCAGGTAGAAATGGAACATTGTTTGTTGGCCGGGAACTGAAGAAAACCCCATCGAAAACGGATATCCCTCAGCAAACCGCATACGGAGCCGCCGTTAAGCTAAAATACACATGACGGTGTTTTTAACCCATACTGATGATGACATGGTAAAAAAGCGCTCGAGGAGCGACGACAAGAAATCTTTTTATGCTGCTGTAGAGTGGGGTTGGCGGGCCCCTGCCTAGCCTAGAGTCAGCTTTTTTCTCTCTCTGCCTGTTCGGCGCCGACCTCACTGTCTGGTCAAGTTAATTGCCGTGGTTCAACCGGCCAGACAGCTTGACTGTTGGCCTGTGCTCAAGCTGCCCGATACCTGTCTAGGTACGTTTGGATGGTCAGTGAGTGATCGATACCTTACGAAAAGAAATAGTTTGACATGCTCAGTCGCTGATGTTCAGTAAACTCTCAAACTGACGTACATGGGAGATGGTCAAGAAACACGCCAGACTTATTGAGCTGAAGCCATAGGGATATCAAGCTCAACGCCCTGAAACGCGTAAGGTGATCGATAGGCATACTTCCCGCACGGCCAATCATTGCCCTGTCGGTCAGGTACATGCACACCTGCCTCAACGAGCCAGCGCCAGCAGGTATGACGCCCTCACGTCATTGCCTGTTGTTTGGTTCCAAGCTCCCACAACAACCGCCACAGTAGGTTGTCGCGTCTGCTGCCGTCAAACTCTTAACCCGTAGCCTTCTCTCACTTGATCATCCTGCCACATTCACAATCAAAGGAAGGGTCACTCTCACCACCCTCCTCCTATTGCCTCTTGCGTACCGTCAACTTTATCATCTCCACAATGGCGCCGGTACCTATTGAGCCGGAGATCGAGTATGTTGATCGCATGCCTCGAATTCAAGAATTCCATCCTGACAACACTCCAGCTATCTCGCGGTCGCAGCAGTTGGCACACACGCCACCAGTGTTGCCGTCTTGACAGCATACGTCGCCCGAAGCCTGTATCGGTCTTACACGTCGCTGTCTCCGGCCCAAGGAACGAGAGAAAGGCTCACGCGACGGTCGATCCTCACACCGCTTTTCACAGGCCTCGCGGCCCTAAGTCTTGCTCTGGCAGGCTATACAACCTCAAGATATGCGACCCTGTCTTACAAAGTCTGGGCCGATCAGCGCGCTCTCGAGATTCCCGCCAGGTCAGCCGCCAGTGCCGCCCGTGTTGCTTTCTGCTAACGTTTCTGTCACAGAGTATATGGCGAGAAGGGCATTCTTCCCTATGGCAACAACTCGACCCATGTCTACGTTGCCCAGTGGCTGACCGACACGCCTGTCTACCTGGACGCCCTCGAGATCGTGGCCGAGAAGGCGCGTCGCTACTGGTGGGGTCAGCAGGTCGAGCTCGCTACCATAGCTTGGAGCCTGTTGCTGTCCGCTGAAGGCCGCAGGAGGAACATCCCGTTTCTCTGGGCTTACCTTGCCCTGGCGCATCTTGTCAACCTGTCTTTCGCCCAAAACTTATTTTATCTTGCACTGCTTCTGACACCCACGCCGATCATCTCGGCGGGTGAAGGCCCCCCCACATCTGCACTCGGCAGGCTTCGGAACCGCCTGTTCCCTCCCAAGCCGGCAGGTTGGACGCCGAGCGTGGCACTTCTCATGGCAGCACTGACCCAGAGTTTTGGTGTGCTCTTCTGCGTTCCTGCTGTGGCAGGCAGCCCTGGCTTCCCTGCGCTAGCAATCGCAGGGAAAGGCGCTCACGTTTGCACCGCTGCTCATCCCAGCTATCGCGCCAGCCAGCTGGGGCACCGTACATGCGCACCCTCGCGGTGGCTACGGTGACTTGACGGAGCTCTTCCGGTTCGTGTCCATGGCTACCTTTGGCCTGCAAGCCAAGGCAACCGTACTTGGCCTGATCTACAACGCACCAGATGCCCACTACCACCGCCACAGCAAGTTCCTTCCCTTTGACAAGGAGACACGCTCGACACTGGAGCAGACGACCATGGCGTTCAGTAAGATTCTTGGCTCTACGGCGGACCACCCTGCGGTGGCAGCTGCGGCATGGGATGTGCTGCTGAGTGGCGTCAGCTTGGGTGTTTGGGCCGCTGTTCGGCCGTTGGACATCAACGACATCTTGGCGTGCGCGACACCATTTTTCAAGAACAGAGTGCTGGAAGCGGATGCGGCCGTTGACGCTGTTGGCGACACGGATGAGCCGCCTGCTGTTGTTGTCCGCAGCAGTGGCCGTACCACGCGGTCATCTGCGGCGAGCTTATCGCCCGCAGCCGAGACGCCGGGTCCGAAACGCCGCGGACGGCCCCGCAAGATTAAGAAGGAGGCAAACGATGTGGCCGACGACAGTGCCTACATCCCTTCGCCTACCGAAAGTGCGGCCATCATTGCCGGGGACCAGGTTCCCCAGGAAGACCTAGACTGGGAGGTCACTGCGCTGACCTGGGGTCTCAACGCACTGGGCGGGCTTGGGCTAGGAAGCTCTGGCGTGTTTGGAGCGGAGTGTATTTCGCGATGATTACGAGATGAGAAGCTGCTGTTCCGAGAACTTACGATATGAGGAACGTGCTAGCGGGATGGGCTTGACACGAGTCCAGACGTGGCCTTTTTTGATCCAACCCCCTTCCTACTACGGGGTAATTGAGGGGTACATAGGAGAACACAAGACACGATACCCCAGATTACGATTTGACAGTGGCTGTCTGGGGAAGCAATTAGCAAGGTAATGATTACGTCCGTAAATCTCGACTCGTTCGCCACGCCTCGCCTACTCTGGCAGGTCATGCCTCGTCGTCGCGCACCCGTAATCTCGCGATCTTCCGCTTGCTTCCCTTCTAGAGCTCGCACAAACGCGGTGGTGCGTTTGAGTGCGTGCGTACCCCACACGCACCATCTCCGCGAGGGGGAAGAGGGAAAAAGTCAATTCGGACTTGGCTTTTCCTTCAGGAGAGTGCCGCGATTCATGGTCCCTGTTCTGCTTGGCCACACCCTTTCTCCACCGGCGCCATTAGAGGAGAGAGATGCGCGGGCAGAGGGCTTGCGCCCATTCGCGGACAGCTCTCCGGCCCTTTTGTCCTTTCTTCATCCGACCTTTTGGCTTTGCCAGCCTCTCTCTCTCTCTACCCCCCCCCCTCCCCCCCCCCCCCAAAAAAAAAACGAGGAACCGGGGACGGACTCCGAGGACCAAGCCGCCGACTCCGTCCCCGGGGGGGAGCTGACGAGTCGGTCTGTTTCGCCGCATGCGGCACCTCTTGAGGCAGGGCGCGCGGCGTGGCGAAGTCGCTGCGAAAGGAAAAAACGTGCCAAATACAGACCTCACTCATCATGCCCCCCCGTTGCGAAGAAATGGACAACGGCAAGAGCGCGAGACATACGTGCACGGCGCAGCGCAGCGAGTGGGCTGTTCGCTTAACAGAGCCTCAATCATCAAAGCACGTAGCCACCTCTGCCGCGATGTTTCTCCCTCGCTGTACATGTTTATCTGCTCTCTCTCTTGTCTCTGACGCCCTCAGCCCCCCGCCCCCGCCCCATCCAGCGACCAGGATCACTGGAGGGGCGAGGAATGAAGGACCCCGTGTCCAAAGTCACGAGGGCTTCTCAGCTGGAGCGGGCCGCGAACCAGGTGAACAGATTCTAAGCACTGCGCACTCCAGGGGTTTATAGAGCCACGGAACGTGTCCTCGGAGAGGGAGAGGCGGGGATCGGAATGCGCGAGCACGAGAGAATCGGTCTCTGACACGAGGCAGGTTCGCTTGAGGCGCCGGACGGGGCATGGAAGAATGAAATGCCTTCGCCCTCAGGCACAGGGACGGTACGGACGAGGTTGGCGTCCTTGTGAGACCTGGGCTGAGCCGCTGCACTCACTCTGTCACGCGAATACGCGGGCGGGCAAGCCTCATCCGCCCTGGCCGGGAGAAGAGGTGGAGAAAGTGGCATTTCATCACGAATCCGAAAGTGGTGTGTGTATTTGTGATGAGCATCTCGAAAGAGTGGACGGATTCAGCGGATGCTGATCGCTTCGGATCTGACGGGTGTGAAGGGCAGGGCGATATTGGTCGTGGCACGTCACGACGGCGTGCATGACGGACGTAATGGTCGAGGGAACCCAGAGGATCGAGGCACCTTGGGTCCGGTGACGTCGGGTGAGGAGGCTCTGTAGGATTCGGGGGGCATCGTCACTTCGGTTGGACTGTCCGATGACCGGCTAAATTGCAGCTGAGCGATGATTGAAACTTGGGCATCGAAGACAGAGGTGGCAGGGGGGCCTTGTCGATGGGGCAAGACTGATTCACAGGGTCCTGCTTTTCCGCTCCGTGCAGAAAGAACGAATGACTTGAATGGCAATCGCAAAAGTGGAGTTTGATTTGGCATCTGGTGGGGTGCATCGAGATGGTGCGAGATGGCAAAGATACGGGAGATTATGGCACCGACAGAGAGGGTCGTGTTGCCCGCCGCCAAAGGGCTCGACACCAGAGGTAGAGAGTGTCTGAATTAAAGGTCTGGAACATGCATGATCAGTGGGCAGAAAATAGTTCGATGCTCTCCGACGCGAGAACCTGGAACCCTTCGCGTATTGAAAGTCAACTGGTGCAGATGGTGACGATCTCTCTGCGACAACAGGCACGGAAAAAAGTCAGACGGGACAAGGGGGGCGGCACAGGCAGGCAGGCAGGTACCTGCTCGCTCGTCAGCTCACCATCCGGCAGCCCGGCGCGATACGACGACAGAGCACGGACGCCACACACCCAGAGCTGTGAGCCCGGCGGCGGCGGCGGCGGAAAGGGTGTGCGCTTCCACATCAGGCTCTCACAGTGGTGCCCGGATTGTTGAGGCTGCACACCCACCCACCACCACCCTCAGCCTGGCAGACAGCCGCCACCGTTGGATGGACTAGACGGGTCTATTATGTACAAGCGGCACCCGAGACGACGTTGCTCTGGTGCCATCGCGGGGGCGCCGGTCCCTCGAACAACCCCGACACTGCGTCGCGCTGCGATGGCGTGGTGGGCTGGCTAGATAACGCGACAGACGGCGTGGAGGGTGTTGAGGCATAGAGAGATAGTGGCGGCGGGGAAGCGTGCTGTTGCCAGTAATTAGCAGCTTTTGGGGGGGGGGGGCCTTTCGGATAGCACGAGAAGCGGTTGTCTGATGGCCGTTTGGCCCGTGTCAGTGCTGGGGACTGCGAGTGGCCAGTGACGCTGGAACAGCTGAACAGAAGTGGGCATAGAGCCTTCTGCCTCGTCGTCAGCGCAACTGCCGTTTGCCGTCAGCGCAGGCTAGCTCGTAGGGGTGATGAGACGGCTCAGTCGGGGACAAGAGCTTGGAAGAAAGCATCCGATACTGCATCCGTGAACGAAAATATCGACGACTGTTCTGCCGACTGGCCCACGTGCACGAATGGAAAAGGTGTTGCGAGATGCATCATGGATATGCAGCAACGTACGACTCCCTGGACAAATCCTCCACGGAAGTCCATGGCTGGCTGCTGCATCATCATGATGTCCACCTCCCCGACCGCACCTGTCTGGCTTGTCGTGAAAGAAAAGACCGGCCTCCAGTCGTGCCATACTCATACTGGGACAATACCGGGGTTGGTAGGCAAGTAGGGAAACACCAAGCAACCATCTGCCTGTGCGCTCTTTTCCTCGCTATCCCGAGAGAGGGATTCGGTCCTTCCTCTTTGCGACAGCGACAGTTATCGCCAAGACCCATCGTGCCCCACGCACTCCACCAGCACGTCTGTCGCATCAGGGCGCTCATTGGCCCGCCAGTGAGATTCGGGCAGGACGCTAGCGCTTTCTAGAACCCGCAACCAGCACCAGCGAAGGGGCCCAGGCCCCCGGGGGTCACCTCCTTCAGGCTCTCGAGATCCCTCCAGTGACCGAAGGAGCGCTGAGCTGCCCGCTCAGGGGACCGAGGGCGGCTCTTGGCGGGATCTTGGCGGAGAGGGGCGCGGGCTAGCATGACGTAGCGCCGTGTCGCACTGGGCGTACCCCGCCGCTCGATGCTGCCTTGCCCAGTCTGCAGCGGCTGTTCACAGGCACTGTGTCGTGGGTGCCCGCGGGCGGGGGTCCACTCACGCCCGGCGGGCTTCATGCGCGCTGCAGCGGGCAGTCTTGGTGTTTCTCCAGCACAGCGGACGGACTGCAAGAACCAGCCAGCCAGCTCGCTACAACAAATACAGACCAGCATGATGATGCGTCTGCGCAGGAAAGCACTATCGCGCAGGCAGGCGCGCACAGTCACACAACCACTCAACCGGCCTTCCGCATCCATCGTGCTCATCCGTCCAAGGCCCCATCGGCTGCCATCGGCGGGCTCGTCCGGGGTGCGTGAGCTTGCCGAAGCATCCCGCTGCGATCCAGCAGATGTTGGAACTGGAGAAAAGAGAGACGCCAGTAGGAAGCGAATCGACGGGCTTGACCGGGGTGGCCGGTTGAGACGCTTGCCCACCGTTCCGCCAATACGGTTGCTGCTTTCCACGCTTCCAAGACGGGTTGGAACTCTAGACTTGGATCACTTTGTCGAGGGATGGTGGTTCTGGGGCAGAGTCGACTCCATTCTC